CAGACTTTTAAGTCCTCTGGTTGAAGACCACTACTTGTAAAGGGTAGAAGAAAAAGTAAAAAGTAAAGCAACAGCAGTTTAGTGCTTCTACTCAACTGTCATCTATTAGTGGTGGGTATTTTTTTTTTTTCTATCTTGAGTGTTAAAACTTTTCAAAAATTTACAAACCTGTTAATATAAAAGATTACATCTCCTTGGATAATGTGTGTCATTGTTCCAGTTTCTTAAAATGTACAGTTTAAATGTTATTGTCTTAAAATTTATAAGCGCTGTTTGCAAATAGATTTTACTTCTACTCTGATCTCAGAACTAAATAAATCTATTTACTTGACTGCATATGTAAATTTTACACCCTGATAAGAAATTTTCCCTAGGAATTTATCACTCTTTTCTCTTCTGATGAGTAACATTCAGTATTATATTGCTAGTACCACTTCCGGTCACTAGATTAAACATGACCTAACATTGAAATACTTAGCTGTTATTGATAGCATTAAAAGATTGTTGTGCTAAAGCCATGAAAATACAGTGGGGTAAGTATTGGTAAAATAAAACGTTTTTTCATGTTGGAAGTCTAAGAAATTCTGATGAAGATAGAGACAATTACAAACAAATGTAAAAATACAGGCATACCTCAGGGATACATCTGCATCAGTTTCAGACGAACACAATGAAGCGAATAGTGTAGTGAAGTAAGTCATAGCAGTCTTTTTGTTTATGCACATAAAAGTAATGTTCACCCTATACTGTAGTCTATTAAGTTTGTAATAGCTTTATGTTTTTAAAACTACATAGCTTATATAAATGCCTTAAGGCTGAACAGTGCTAAGGATCTAAGTCTTCTGCATCATGCTGTCTTTTGCTGGCAGAGGAGAGGGTCTTGCCTCTGTTTTAATGGCTGCTGACTGATCAGAGTGGTGATTGCTCAGGGTTAAGATGGCAGTTTCTTAAAATGAGATAACAAACAGTGAACTTTTGCCATATCATTTGACTTTTCCTTTCACAAAATACTTCTCCATGCCATATGATGCTATTTGATAGCACTTTACCCCCAGTAGAACTTCTCTTAAAATTGGAGTTCATCTCCTCAAAACACTGCTGCTGCTTTATCAGCCAAATTTCTAAATTTGATTTTCTAAATTCCTTGCCTTCATTTCAACAGTGCTCACAGCATCTTCGTCAGGAGTAGATTCCATCTCAAGAAACCACTTTATTTGCTCATCCAGAAGCAGCAGCTCCTCATTCCTTCAAGTTTTATCATGAACTTGGAGCAATTCAGTCACGTCTAGGTTCTACTTCTGGTTCTCTGTTTCTTCCACATCTATAGTTACTTTTCCCACGGAGGACTTGAACTTCTCTAAGTCATTCATGAGAATTGGAATCAGATTCTTCTAAATTCCTGTTAACATTAATATTTTGACCTCCTCCCATCAATCTTTTTTTTCTTTTTGATACAGAGTCTCACGCTGTCACCCTGGCTAGACTGAAGTGTATTTCTTAAATAATAAGGCTTTAGAATCAAAATGACTCCTTAATCCATGGACTGACAAATGGATGTTGTGTTAGCAAGCATGAAAACAATATCTATGTCCTTATACATCTCCAGCACAGCGCTTGGGCATGATGCAGTTACATTGTCAGTGAACAATAATACTTTGAAAAACATTTTTCCTTAGCAGTAGGTCTCAACAATGGGTTTAAAGTATTCAGGAAACTATATTGTAAATGGATGTGCTGTCATCCATGCTTTGTTGTTTATTTATAGAGCGTAGGCAGAGAAACTTAGCATACTTCTTAAAGGCCCTACTAGTTTTAGAGTGGTAGAGTGTTGGTTTTAACTTAAAGTTGCTAGCTACATGGGCCCCTAACACAGCAGATCTCAACCTGTCGTGACCCCTTTATAACTATGAAAATACATCCTGCATATCAGGTATTTACATTACGATTCATAACAGTAGCAAAATAACAGTTATGAAGTAGCAACGAAAATAATTTTATGGTTGGGGGTCACCACAACATGAGGAACTGTATTAAAGGGTCATGGCATTAGGAAAGTTGAGAACCACTGTACTAACAGGAAAGCCAACCTGTCCTTTGAAGCTTTGAAGCCAGGCATTGATTTCTTCTCTACTGTGAAAGGCCTAGGTGGGATCTTCCGCTAGAAGGGTATTTTGTCTGTACTGACAATCTGTTGTTTGGTGTAACCACCTTCATCAATTATCTTTGCTGTATCTTTTGGATAACCTGCTGCATTTTCTCCATCAGCTCTTGCTGCTTCACCTTATACTTCCATGTTACGGAGATGGCCCCTTGCCTTAAACCTCATGAACCAGCCTCTGCTAGCTTCAGACTTTTGCAGTTTCCTCATGTCTGTCAACCTTCATAGAATTGAAGAGTTACAGCTTTGCTGTAGATTAGATTTTGGCTTAGAGGAATGTTGTTACTGGTTTGATTTTTTTTTTTTTTTTTTTATTCAGACCACTAAAACTTTCTCCATATCATCAATAAAGCTGTTTTATCGTCTTATCATTCGTGTGTTCAGTAGAGTGGCTACTGACTCACCTACAGCCTTTTTATTGAGACAGTCTTGCTCTGTCACCAAGACCAGAATGTAGTGACATGTTCACTGGAGTTGCAATTTCCAACTCTTGGGTTCAAGTGATCCTGCTGGCCCAGCCTTTGGAGTAGTTAGTGTCAGTGGTGTTCACTATCCTGCTTCTGACACCACTTGTCAGGGCCCGGGACTGGCCAGGTCTCAGGCCCGGCTTAGGTAGGTTCCAGACGTGGACCGCTAAGATACCTTGCTTAGGTACAGTTTCTCTTAGGTGCTTGAGGGCTATCTACTTTAACTGGAGAGAGAATGTCTTAGAGTAAAGCAGTCTTCTTAGAAAGATTGATCTTAGTCTTTAGCAGAGCTTGGTAATCTTCAGCAGAGAGATGCCGTGCTGGCGTTCTGTAGGCAGGAGAGGAGACAGAGTCAGAGTCAGCGAGTCTGTGATGGAATGCACATGCTTTTTGACTGCCTTCTCCTCCAGCCTAATATAAGGCTGATCTTGTGCCTCTCAACACCACAGGTGTAGAGATTGAGAGACTGCCAATTCACCAATGCTCTCATCTCACAAGCTCTCTCGTGCTTGTTAGAACTAAATCCCTCTCCATGCCCTTTTCACCAAGGTGTTCCATTATTGAGCTATACAGGTGTTTCTTATAACTCTCACTCCTCCTAGCCATAAGCTATACGGGCTGCTACAAGCTAGGGCTACAGGTATAGCCAGTTTTTTTTTTTTTTTTTCTCTAGAGCTAGCAATCTCATTATGTTGCCCAGCTGGTCTTGAACTCCTGACCTCAAGCAGTCTTCCTGCCCTGGCCTCCCAAAGTGCTGGGATAACAGGTGTGAGCCACGGGGCCCAGCCTGGAGTAGCACTTTTAATTTCCTTCAACAACTTCTCCTTTGAATTCATGGATTGGCTGCTTGCAAGAAGCCTAACTTTTATTTTATTTTTTATTTATTTATTTTTTTAGTTTATCTTGGTCCGTCTTGGGTTTTGAGGAGCTTTCCTCACTAATCTTAATCACTTCTAGCTTTTGAATTAAACAGAGACATGTGACTCTTCCTTTCACTTGAACACTTAGGGGTTATTATAAAGTTATTAAGTGGCCTAATTTCCATATTGCTGTATCTCAGGGAGTAAAGAAGACCCCAGGAGGAGGTGAGAGTTGGGGACCAGCTAGTTGGCGGAGCAGTTGGAACAAACGCAACATTTGTCGATTAAGTTTGCTGTCTAATATGCCTTCCATGCCCAAACATTTACATCAGAGATCACTGATCACAGAGCTCCATAAATGACATAACAATAGTAATACTGAAAACATTTGAGAATTACCAAATGTTACACAGAGACAAAAGTGAGCACATAGCGTTGGAGAAATGGTGCTGATAGACTGGTCAGTGCAGTGATAGCACCACTATCAATGGTGCTGATAGACTGGTCACTTGCCACAGACCTTCAATTAGCAAGAAATGCAGTATCCATGCAGTATCATGAAGCAAAGCATCATGAAACCAGGGAACCAGTAGTTATAATGGAGGAAATTACACAAGTGTTGCCAAACACAGTGGTATCTGTTCCTTTCAGGATCTGCCTTTGTTGCCATGTCAGTGGTTCTGACATTGATCTAAATTGTTTGATTGGCCTGTGTCATTTTACTTACACTACATATGTTGGAAATAAGTGCTACAGTTTTATTTTTAAAATAAGCAGTCTGTACTTAACTACATATTGTGGTATATTTCTGAAGATTACATTTAAAAATAGTTTAAAATTAGAGAAAGAAAAGGAAAATCTAAAGAACTAGGGAGATAAATTAAAAATGAGAGGAGAAAGGGACAAGAATTTAAAAAAGTAAAATTTCTTAAATCTTTTAGCAAAGAAAAGTTTTGAATTTGCCTAAGAGATCAGGACAGTTATGAAATCAAAATGTGTGCATGTTATCAAAGTGTTGGGGGTCATGAACCCCTGGGTCTGCCACTTGACGGTGTGGGGCCTTATTTACCTTTTCTGAGCTTCAGAGTTGCCAAGATTAATGCATATGGAAGTTGTGTGTGAGGTGGTCAGTACTATATAAATGTTGTGATTTTTTGGGCAGCTTTGGCTGTGAGATAATGGGCAAGTAGACTAAGTACTTGTGGTGAGGATGCTTATTTATTATTGTGAGGTTTTACCTCTTGTCTGGTACTTCTTCTCAAAATCTCATTTTTGAGGTTCTTGTTTTATTTATTAGTTTTTAGATGGTATTCATCAGTTCTTTCTCTTCGAGATGAATGTGGACTAAATTAAGATTTATGATAATAATGGCAATATGCATGTTGTAGAGTTTGTAACATAGGGCCGCCAGAGCAGTAGTAGTCTTTAGTGACCTGTTGCAAATTATTAAATTGTGGCATACAATTCATCTTAGTTTGTTTGTAATGGTTATCCTTTGAAACCCTCTTTCCTCAGATACAGAAGTGTATGGGGAATTTTTTCCTGTGCCACCTCCCTACAGTGTTGCTACCTCCCTCCCGACGTACGATGAAGCTGAGAAGGCCAAAGCTGCTGCCATGGCAGCTGCAGCAGCAGAAACATCTCAGAGAGTAAGAACATTTCATTCTTTCTTTTGATAGTGTTATTTTTGTTAATCAATATGTGCACTTGGTAATAGCACAAATAGTTTTTTATGTATCAGAGTATTTGTGTGTCAGGATGTTTTTTAGTATAGTTGACTCTTCAACAGTATGGCTTTGAACTGCATGGGTCCACTTATATGCAGATTGCTTTCATTGACTCTATTAAAAATTTTTTAGAGATCTGCAACAATTTGAAAAAAAACCTGTGAACAAATTTCATAGCCTAGAAACATATATAAAAAAAAGTTAGGCATGTCTTGAATATGTAAAATATATGTAGATACTCGTCTTATTTGTGTGTTAGTTACTGTGTATGTAATCAGTAGGGCTTCCAGTGAACAGCAGGCTATTAGTAGTTAAGTTTTGGGGGAACCATAGTTATGTACAGATTTTTGACTGTGTGGGGGTCTGTGTCCCTCCCGCCCCAGTTGTTCAAGGATCAACTGTGTTTTCTCTACTACTGCTGTGTGTGTTGTCATTTTTGGTGAAATTGGTGCTCTCCTAGTTAAACTTCCCTGCTTCATTCTTTGACTTTCTCATCTCTATTGCTCTTCCTCTCCACCCCATCACAGCTTGTGGGTCATCCCGTCTTTACAAATACATTTATTACTTCCCAACTTTTGATTTCATGCATCTTCTCGTGCTAACCTTCACCTCCCATCATTCTAACTCATTCCCGTCGGTTACCATGACTCAGCAGTTCTCTCCCACTTGGACCTCCTGTCCATTGACCTCTTTACTGTTCACGTGCTTATTTCCCTCCTTATATAGTTTAAATCCTGTGGTCTTTCATTATAATCATGACCTAATCTTTTTTCCTACTCATGTTTTATATATTAGTATCACCAGTTTAGTAACTCTGTGAATGAACTCAAGAGAGGCTAAAAAGCATACAGAAATAAGTTATAAATTATTTAAATTATTTTTGTGACCTAATCTGCTCGTCCCTTTTAACATATCTTAGAATTTTGGAGTAATGAAGAATTCTACTTCCCCTTTTGCCCTCATCTTCCTGTCTTAGTAATGGGGTCAAGGAGATACTTGTGGTGGTGTTATTCTTTGTCTGGTAAAAGGAGAGGCTGTCTCAGTGATGAGGTCAGTCAGATACATGAGTGCTGTTCTGAAGCCAGGTAAGAGGCAGAAATTATTTACCTCCTAGTGTGGCTACAAGCAGGGCTAGAATTCATTGCCTTTTTTTCTTGCTTCAGACTTGAGTTGTCATTTCCGATCCCTGTATTCATCTCATTTTGTTTAGGAAAAAGGCACACAAAAAATCACTTCACCCAGGAAAACTAGACATAGGTGAGGAGCCAAAGGAGGGAGATGTGCTTCCCTGTATGGCACGCTCTTGTTACTCTGAGGTCAGAGCCCAAAGAGCAGAGGTTCCGAGAGGTGAGCCCGTGTCCTGGATGTGTGTCTTTCCTAAGCTACACACTTTCCATACCTGCTCCAACTCTCTTTCTCCAACATACAGGGTTAAACATCAGTATAAACAGCTTTGGGTACAGTTAGGATGTTAGGTCTATTCTAAAGGCAAAGCAGGATGCATTAGTTCTTACTGTGTGTGCTTGTGCTTTGAGAAAAGCATAAAGGTGACTTTAGTCTACCCTTTTTAGAAAGAAAACTCTGAAATGTTACCATTCTGTCCCTTCACTATCATATTCAGCGCTTTGGACATGTGGAAAATTTCCCAGAAGAGAAAGTAGAGTTGTACGCAAGAGACTAAGGGACGTCCTTATAAAAAGTCTTAAATTTATCAGTGTTTCCTAAGCTAGTGCTCCAGCATTTTCTTACTGTAAAGTAGGAGTGTATGTGTACAAGTCTCTGTATCTTCTGATTTAGATAAAAAATTAGCTGGTGTGTTCTTGGAAATTGCTGAGAGTAGTTTTTACATTGTTTTCTCCACAAAAAAAGCTAAGTGTGTGAGGTAATGCATATGCTAATAGCTCGATTTAGCCATTCTACAGTGTATAGGTATTTTAAAACACCATGTCATACACCATAAATAGTGCCGTTTTCCACTATTAAAAATTAAATAATTGAAAAAAAACTCTTGGTCGGATTAGTATTTGAATACATTCAGTTGTAAATAAGTCTCACCTGGGTGAGCTGAATGCTTATTTCTTAAATGGACTGTCATTGGGAGAATGTAGGTAGTCAAGAGACTTTGAAATAGTCCTGTTTTCTAGTTCTTATTTATTTATTTATTTTGAGACAGAGTCTCAAGCTGTCACCCTGTGTTGAGTGCTGTGGCAGCACAGCACACAGCAACTTCAAACTCCTGGGCTCAAGCGATTCTCTTGCCTCAGCCTACCAAGTAGCTGGGACCACAGGCGCCGGCCACAATGCCTAGCCATTTTTGTTGTTGTTGTTGTTGTAGTTGTCAGTGTTGTTTGGCAGACCCGGGCTGGGTTCCAACCCACCAACCCTGGGGTATGTGGCCAGCGCCCTAGCTGCTGAGCTACAGGCACCCAGCCTAGTTCTTATTTTAATGTTTAGAGTTGTTTGTATTTTATGGAAATGAATTATCCAGTTTGAATATTTCTATGAAAAATACTTGAATTCCAAGTCATTAATTTTATAAAACTTTTAGAGCATGCATGTTCATGAGGGTTTTGATCTTACAGTAATAGATAGAGCTCAATTTTTTGTAACTTGTTTAAAATTGATTCGGTAACTTGTCTTTTGTTATAAAAACTAGAACTCAGTAATTTGTGAGCAAATCTGAGACATGTACCTTGCATTTACATTCCCAGCACCTGTTATCTGGTACATATTTGTTTAGTAAATGATAGTTTGTTAAGTTAATGTGCACTTTTTTCTTTTTTTTTTTATATTGCCTAATGTGGGAAATTAGAAATAAGAAAATACCACGGGTGTTCTCTTATAGCTCTTCATTTTAAAATACTTGAATGTCTTTTACCAATTTTAAGATTTATAAATTAATTTTTAATGTAGTTGAAATTATTGCATCCATGTGATCTTTTATTTTTTAAATGTTTTATATAAATATTTTTCTGTTTTTAATGGTTGAGTGAAATTCCATGGAATCAATTTACTATTATAATTTAGTGACCATTCCTCCCTAGTGATATGATTATTTTCATCAAATGTTTGTGTTTATGCTTTTTTTTCAGGTGTTAGTATTATAAAAGAAATATTTGCACATTTTGTCTTCTATCTTTTAAGAAATTATGTCCTGGCCAGGTGTGGTGGCTCATACTGGTAAATCCAGCATTCTGAGAGACTGAGGTGGGTGGATTGCTTGAAGCCAGGAGTCTGAGACCAGTCTGAGCAAGACTGAAACCCGTTTCTACTAAAAACAGAAAAACTAGCCAGACATGGTGGCAGGTGCCTATAGTCCCAGCTACTCAGGAGGCTGAGGCAGGAGAATCACTTGAACCCAAGAGCTTGAGGTTGTTGTGAGCTATGACAATGCCACAGTGCTCTACCCCAAGGAAACAGAGTGAGACTTTCTCAAATAAATGGAGTGAGACTTTGTCTCAACTAACTAACTAAATAAATAAAATAAAATAAAAGATGATATCCTTTGATAAAATCTCTGGAGTAGTGTTTTAAAATACATAGTGCTACTTATTAAATAATTACATTTTTGCCATTATATTGACAGGTTTGCGGGGAGGTGGCAGTTCATATTATGCTTTGGTGTTTATTTCTTCAATTAATTTGAAATTATAAGAAATTTTTATTAACATGCATTCAGTCATTGCTAGTTGTTAAAGTTTGCCTATGATATTATTGCAGAGTTTAAGGGATCTTTGTGCCCAAATAATGAACAACATAACATGGTTTTGAAAGTTTCTTTCTTTCAGGAGAGCAATGTACTTAGACTACCATTACTGGGTGGAAAGAACATCAGTGTCCTGGATTTGTGTTCACGTTGATCTTCCTAATTATGTGGTCTTTGGCAGGGCTCTTAAGTTTTCACCTGAGCCTCACAAAATTGAATCATTAACACTCAGCTGAGATTATATATATACAATCTAGAGATGGAGATGGTGCAAATGTAAATCAAGCCATGTCACTTGTCTGATCAAATTCTATTTTACTCAGTAAAATTCAGGAGTTTGGTATTGGATTGATCTATGATGATGCAACTGAACTCTAGCCAGGGTGTTAGAATGAGACCCTATCTCAAAAAAATAAAAACTGGTTTTTTTTAAAATTTACTTTTAAATTTGGGGACAGCTTTTTGAATTTTATTGGATAGATACTATATTACGTATCTGTCAGGAACTGTGAATAGTCAGATTTTACTGGACTTTCAAACTAACAGAATGGGTTGTCCCAGTTTCCTGGATGTTGGTGGAAGACTTGAGCATGCTGGCTCAGAGAAAAAGTCTTCTTTATTCACAGCAGTAGTGTACCCTGAGTGTTAGTATTTTCTGTGCCAGTTCCCTGACCTCCATTTCCCCCAGGGCAACACAAAGAGGGCTAAATGATAACCTCCACACTCAGTGGGGTGGGTTGTGGGAGGGGAACCCTGGGCATAGGGAACCCAGTTCTTTTCTAATGGCCAATAAAAATGCCCACACCTCTACTCTGAGAGAAGACACTATCTCTCAGAGGTCTCTACTGTGTAAACACTGTGTGTCTCACACCTTTCCCACCCCAGTGCCTCTCCCTGACAGACATGTAGAAAAATGACAGAACCATGGAGAATTATCTCCTAGCATAGTCCACTATTGATGGACATTTAGATCCTGTCTGATCTTCTGCTCTTAGTAGCTTTGCTGCAATGAGTTATTTTTAATACATCATTTCCTGTAAGTAGGGATACATGTATGTATTTCTACAATATGCGGTAAAAACTGTTATTGTTAGATCAGAGGTTATGTACGTTTAATTATGATAGATGCTTGATAAATAGTTGGATAAAATCATCAAATAGCCAGCCATAGAGTTGTACCAGTTTATACTCCACCATTGATTGTGAAAGTTTGATGCTAAAAGTGCAGCAGCGTTGCATCTGTCTCCTGGAGACTGTTTTCATGTGTTTAATGTTCTTCGACATTATCTCTTTTGTGTTTACCTTAAAAGTAACTCTTCAGGGGCACTGGTGGAAAAGTAACAGTTGCTGATGTTTATTGATTACTTACTCTGTCCCAGACATTTTACTCATTATCTCATTTTCTCTACACAGCAAATTGAGAGCATTGGATTTGGTTGAAGTTTTTTTTCCTTGCATTTAACATAATAAAGTTATAATTATTTTAGTGAGCTATCTTATTGTTTTATGTTAACAGATTCAGGAGGAAGAATGTCCACCAAGAGATGACTTCAGTGATGCAGACCAGCTCAGAGTGGGTAACGATGGCATTTTCATGCTGGCGTTTTTCAGTAAGTGATCTTCCCGAACTGTTTTTCTTGTATATATTGGCTGCGGGTATATTAAAGTAAAAAGAAAGGCAAATTTTGTTAGAATGTATCTACCTTGTTAAAAGTGTAGATTGTTCCTGATACTGAACTAAGGAATACCCTAATCACATGTTATAGTACAAACCCTAGAATTTATTAAACATTGTAACTTAATAATTATGCATTGTAACCATTATGCTATGTTGACAGTATAAAAGTACATGAACGTATTTAAGCTAATTAGGCTTTTGTTAGAGAAGTGCCACAGTACTGGTGTCTGTTCATTGCTGTAGGGACGTACAGAATCAAACTGAATTCTGCTTTTGGGGCAGAAGACTTCCATTTAAGTATCCTTGGGCCAGAAAAAAAGGTTAGAAAAGAGGGGATATTCAACTAGAACTTTGTTACTTGAGACAGAAAGGTATGAAATGTGTTTTATTTGGAGGAATGGTGAGTAGTAGAAGGTCAAAAACCTAATATGTTTGAACATCTTGCAAAATCCTAATTCAGTATTTGGCTTATAGATTTAAGCTCCTTGAGAGGAGACTGTCATAGTCTTCATTATTTCAGTACCTCCCTTAAATAATATTAAGACATTTAATATTAACTGTTTAAACGGGTATAACCAGTAGTAGAAACCCAATATTCATGTGAGTAATTTATTAGTCTATTGTATGATTAATTTCTGCCCTCAGCCTGCTTTAATGATTATGCTTTTCATTCTTGGATAGAATACTGTTTTAATTCATTTTAATTATAAATTTCAGAGATAAAACAGAAACTATTTAAAGTTCAACTTCGAAAAACAAAAAATACGAACTTCATGAGTTGCTGCTTTTGAATCTAAAAGTTTATTTAATCTTTTGGAAATGGTGTTTTGTTTCCTTTCTTTTATTTCATCTGCCGAAGAACAGAGGTGACATGAGGGCAGGCAGCTATATTTTCTTCTTCAAATTTACTAAGTTATAGTCAGGTTGTTAGTTTACATATGTGTAACATTTAAATCTTAAGTTGATTTTAGTTACAATATCTAGTTAGATATGTTAGGTGCGATGAAAGGAAATGAATTCTTTTGTTACAAAGGAATACTTTGGTACACAAAGTCTAGTGGACTTTGGTTTTTATCTTACTTTTGGTTCAACTGGTAATTCTTTATATTAATTAACAACTTCCCACATACTTTGTTTACAAAAAGAGTAGCTTTTTGTGGTTATTTTCTTAATGAAATCTTAAATAGAAAAGAAATCATCTAAATTTATTGTACTATTTGTAGTATAAATACCTGTTTCTTAGGATTAAAAACATACTACTTGATATTATTGATGTCATTCCGAGTTATTATTTTTCCATTTTTTAATTTCACTTAACCCCAGTATCTTTTTAATTTTTTAGATTTGAAAACATTTCACTAATATGTTGTAGATTCATGGTTTTTATCTTAATTTTGGTTCAACTGGTAATTCTTTAATATTAACAACTTCCTACATACTTTGTTTACAAAAAGAGTAGCTTTTTGTGTTTTTAATGAAATCTTAAATAGAAAAGAAATCATCTAAATTTATTGTACTATTTGTAGTATAAATACCTGTTTCTTAGGATTAAAAACATATTACTTGCTATCATTGAGGTCATTCAGAGTTATTTTTCCATTTTTATATTTCCCTTAACCCCAGTGTCTTTTTATTTTTAATTTTTTAGACCTGAAAACATTTCACTAATGTTTTGTAAATTCATGGTAACTTAGACATACTGGATGACTTTATCTGTAGCCATTGATTGTATTAGTTAGCATAAATATTAATATTTAATATAAATTATCTTTTACTAAAATTTTGCTAAATTAAATTTCCACATCTTATATTTAATTATTCCTATTCTATAAATATAATACCAATATTATAAGAGTAAACTTCTATTTTTACCTTCATTTCCTGATGCATTTTTTCTAGTGGGCCTAGAGCTTGTGTTGATAAACAGATTTATTTGTAATCACCACCCTCTAGTGGCTATTCCTCAAATTGCAGCTTATTGTGTTTTCCATGCCACTTAAATGATCTTGTAGCTAAGGATGGTAAAAAGTAGATCTTCCTTAATGTAGTTTATAACTTAAGCATTTCAGATTATATAACTTGTGCAAATAAAACTATAGTGAATATCAGTAAGAATATTTCAGTTAAAACCTTTTTGTTAGTTTAATTCTTTCCACCTTTGCTTTCAACACCTTACCTAACTCAACCCTCATAAAAGTGTACACTTACATTTGATAAGATAATTGCATGTTCTTGTTCAGAAAATGTAAAGGAAGAAATGTGTCTATCCCCTGATAATGTTTTTGCTTCTTGTAATCCTTTAAGGTATTACTGCAAAATGTCTCATACATATGCCTAACCTCTGTGATCTTGTTTTTAAGAATTCTTTTAAGAAAATGGAATAGAATTCATTTATTTGTCAATTAAACACTAGAAATTAAGATAGGGATCATTGAATAACTGACAGTCTGTGGAAATGACTTTGAACCTCTAGTGCTTCAAAATGTGATGGGTTGTATATGGCTGTTCAGAAAACTTTTTTTCTAAGGTTTAGCCATTTGTAACATTTGTGAACCTTAACACCAACATGCTATGGTAATAATTAATCAAAATTAATTCCCATTTTAGACTTGAGGGAAGCATAAAAATAAAATTATTTGTAACTTTAAAAAGAATTCAAAGAGTGTTTTGAATTTTGATTAGTAAGAAATGGCCAGCTGTCTCCCAAAGTGGCGGCACCATTTGTATTCTCCCCAGCAGTGAATGAGAGTTCTGTTGCTCTGCCTCATTGCCAGCATTTGGTATTAACAGTTGTTGTTTTTGTAAAATTTTAGACATTCTAACAGATGTATGGTGGTATCTCGTTGTGTTTTAATTTTCTTCTCTCTAACAATTAATGATGTTGAGCATCTTTATTCAGTAAATTCTTTTGAGCACCTGTCATATGCAGGTTTAAAAACTTAAGATTCTTAAAGGAGTTCTGTGATACTGCACATACTAAAAAACAACACATTGATGACTTACTCTGTACATGGAAAGCTATGTGTATATAGCTTTTAGATAGCATTATATTTTATAAGTTAAATCAGAAAAGGAATATGTAAGAATTGTAAGTGTACCTTAAGAAAACCATACAATATTTGTGAAGTATTAGATCAATAGTTTTATCTTTTTTAAAAAGTTGATTTTGTTGGCTGATGGCTTAGGCTGGCCTTCTTGGGTGGGACCACATGAGAGCTATATTGTGATTTGATTTTTAGCTGGTTTAAAAATAGAATTTCACTGGGAATTGATTCCTGTTTACCAAACCAACAAAAAATTAAGTTTACCCCTTTGTTGATGTACAGTGTAATAAATAAATAATACCTTTGCAAAAGGTAAGCATAGAGTTTAAAGAAGGGAGCTGCTATTCCCATTGAGTGATGAAATGTTCTTAACATTATATCTGTGTTAAATTTGTTTCCACATTGGGGTCTTTAAATGAACTGTTTCTGTTTCTTCTAGTGGCCTTTATTTTCAACTGGCTTGGGTTTTGTTTATCCTTCTGTATCACCAATACCATAGCTGGAAGGTATGGTGCTATCTGTGGATTTGGCCTTTCGTTGATCAAATGGATTCTAATTGTCAGGGTGAGTGTCTTAATAACCTTTAACTCTTTTATTTCTAAAATGAAAAGCTATAAAATTTCCTTTGTAGTAATCTCTATGGTATGAACATTTTATAAGTTACTATATGAGAGGTTTTTAGTATAGTGGAAAGAACTTTGTAATCAAGAAAAATTTAAGTTTGAATCTCACCTTTTTTATATCTGTATTCTAACTTTAAGCAATTTATTGGTTCTGAGCATTAGTTTCTTCATAATGTTCTAATTATTAACAGCTGCCTGGCAGGATTTTTATTAGGTATGGAAATAATATAATTAAAGTATTTTGCCCAATTTCTGTCCACAAATATGTGTTTAGTAAATCATGGCTACTACTATTGTGATACTTTTTTTTGGTCATGTTGAGAGCTCAGAAGTGAAGTGGAAGCCTGTGAAAGTAGCTCTCAGAACTTTTTTCACGTCTGCTTCTTTTAGCCTGCCTTCCCATTGTCCTGTTGTCCTCTGGAATCACCCTCTGCCTACTTCTTATTAACAAGGTGGTGTGTAGGGAGCCAAGGGGAAACCCTTCTCTTTTCCCCATCTCAATAACTTTTCTAGTCTCAAAGTAGTTTTCTGTAAAGATTGCATAGGCATTAGTATGGTTGGCATTGTCATCGCCCAGCGCTCTACCTTTGCCTCTCAAAGCCCCCCCCCCCTTTTTTTTTTTGGTAGAGACAGAGTCTTACTATATCGCCCTCCGTACAGTGCTGTGGTGTCACACAGCTCACAGCAACCTCCAAATCCTGGGCTTACGCAGTTCTCCTGCCTCAGGCTCCTGAGTAGCTGGGACCACAGGCGTCAGCCACAACCCCCAGCTATCTTTTTGTTGCAGTTTGGCCAGGGCTGGGCTTGAACCCGCCACCCTTGGTACGTGGGGCTGGTGTCCTCACCACTGAGCCACAGGCGCTGCCCCGCCTTTTGGCTTCTTTTTACAAATGTTCCTTCTAGTCTTTTTAGGATAAGGCTTGGGCTTTTTTTTTTTTTTTTACTTTTTGTAGAGATGAGGTAACTCTCTATTGCCCAGGCTTGTCTCAAACTCCTGGCCTCAAGCTGTCCTCCTGCCCTAGCCTCCTAAAGTGCTAGGATTACAGGTGTGAGCCACTGTACCTGACCTCTTCATTATTTTTTTACTGTACGTATTTTATAGCTTCTCAGGGTCTCAGTAATCTTGACAGATAGACCCTGTCTTGGTTCAGACCAGATTATGGTTTTGATTATTAATTAGTTGATTCTTGGTTGGGACCCGTGGACTGGTTTCTCCTAAGATGGTTAAAATCTAAGCCATTTTAATTTTATTTCGAAAGGTATACAGTGAGTTTCTGCCATGAACATAAATGCATTAAGCATTAGGGAACATACAAATCCAAAGACATAATCTCCACACTTGCAGAAGTTATTACTAGAAAATAGTTGGCACTAGATATGTCAACTTTGGTGCTGGATATGTCCAACCTTGGTTATGATAGTAATAGACTTAAGTACTACTATTCAAATGGGATTTCTCATCTAAATCTCAAAACACAGAAGATAGTTTGAGAACTTTTTTTTATAATTCTCTTGAAGTGGGTAAGTTACTGATATCACTAGATCCTTAAGAAAGAAGTTAAGGCATTATATGTAACCTGTGCATTTGGGGTATTAGAGCCTTGATCACCAGGACTGTTTAGTTTCCCTTTAAAATACCTTTACTGAGTTAAGGATAATGTTATACCTTTAGTGAATATGTTGAGAATTGATGTAAGAAAAGGATTTTTAAAAATCTTTTGTATAAAGTAATAATAGCTGCCCTTCATCAAGCACCTAGTGTGTTCTAGGCTTAATTTGTTATAAACACTATTATTAACCATATCTGTATTTCTGATGTTGGTGATGATCTAGGCTTTTGCTGGTGTTGAAACTCAGAATAAATAGAGTAAGATTCCACAGATTTTATGTAGATTAGAATCTGGTGTGGCTCTATCCCACGCCCCTTCTCCTGATTTTGTGCTGCCTCCGTTACACTCTCCTTTGACTTTTGCTGTAACATGCCAAGCAGTAAATTCCTCTTATAGGTTAGTGCTGAGAGAAAAGTTTTCTCCTAAAAGCCTGGTGTTTCCTTTCATTAGACAATAAGTAATTTATAAAACATACTGCTGCTTTTTTGTTTCTGAACTGCCATGAACCTTAGTTTTTGTATGAATATCTTTAGCCCATACTTCTGTTGGTAATTCTAAGGGTTTCAATATTTTTTGTTTGTTTAAAAATGCATGTGTTTTATTAAAAAGTAACAAGTTTTTTTAAGTAGGTTGTAAATAATATTGATGTTATATTAATAAAATAAAATCAGATAAATGTTTAATGTTAGTCAATATATTTTTCAAAATTTGATTTCAGCAGCCTGTCATTGGCCAATCAACATGATTGGTTTACTTCTTTTTTTTTTTCAGTTTTTGGCCGGGGCTGGGCTTGAACCTGCCACCTTCGGTATATGGAGTTGGCGCCCTACTCCTATGAGCCACAGGCACCACACTGATTGGTTTACTTCTTTGTAAAAGCAGTATGGCTCAGTTTTGTGATTTTAGTATTCTGAGAACAGTTTTGATAGCTCTGTAATGAATCTGAAAGCATATTTCATTATCCTTTTTACATAGTGAATCTTTCTGTTTGACTTCAGGGTGGAGGTAATTATATTCTTCACTTGGGAGTACATAAGAAATAGATTTATAGAAATATTTTTTGGTGAGGAATGACTCCTCTTGATTTTCCAGTTTCCTCTTAACTGGGTATCAAGTGCAGAAAGTTAAAAATATGTTTTGGCATTTTATTATTTTTTGGCTTTATAGCCTCTACAACCCATATGAAAACCTTTTATTTCTAATCTCTTGATTTAAAAGTAGTGCAGTACATTCCTATTTTATAAGCTGTGTTTTTCCAATCTTCAAATCTTACTTTTGTTGTACATATTTTAAAAGTATAGGAGTATGTGGGATTTTCTTCTTCTATATTACTTTGAAATTTTAAATATTTGAAATTTCTAGAACTCTTAAGCTGATTGAGATCATGGTTATATTTATTAATTAAAAACACTTTCTGAGAAAATACTCAAAAGGCTTTAAAAACAGATCTTTTTAGTTGATATGCTTACTACATGGTGACCTTACTTATAATTTGTAAGCATTTTGTTATCAAAAAATTATAGGGAAAAAAATTTGTTATCTATAGGAGTTTTAAGCTTTTATAGAAATTATAACAAATAGTTGGAAATGATTACCAGTAATGTTGAAAATGTTTTAATTAATTTTGGAGTTGAGGCCAAATCCGCATTTAGCACAATCAGTTTTGGTTAAATCAGATTTAGTTTGCAGACCATTAGAAACAGGGTAGGTAAACTCAAGCTAATTTTTAATAGTTTTAGGGTAGGTTATATTATTAAACACTTAAAAAAATTATTTGGGGAATTGTTTAATTATTAAAGGATAATAGAGAAGAATTATCTGAAGTAACTGAATTAGGTTTTTTTTTAAACCTTTTTAAATTATTGAAGTTTTATGTCTAGAGTCTAATCAAGGAAAAAAAAAAACCTGTGTTCAATATCCTCAAACCCTGCCTTCCATCCGCCTGTTCATATTCTCACATCACAGAGAATATAAAATTGTCTACAACGGCCACTAATAGGAACTGTTGAAATGCCACTTCAAGGTTCATTTAGCTGTTCTTAGCTCACTGTTGGGAACTGAATGCTAGGGCATCTAGTTTAAAAATAAAAAGACTCTAATGAGTTGGGGGTCTTTATGCGCCTAGTATTTTTGGCAGTGATTAACAGTAGGGGATGTACAGAAGGTCAAAAGCTCTTCTTTTGAGAGGTCAGCATAACATCCCCATCTGATAAGATTAAACTAATGTGGCTTTTGGTGTTAATATCTAAAGCAGCGGGTTGCCCTAGTGTGTTTGGGATGGTGGTTGTGGCTTTAGGAGAGTCTGAAGAAAGGGCTGACATGTGAACTCTTTAATGAAAAAATGTGTGATTCTGATAATCCAGATATATAGCATTTACTTTTCTTTCTTGCAAGCAGTTTGACATTGTTTTTTGTTTCTAAAATACTTTGCATAACTTTGTTTGCTATTGCAATCTCATTGCATAAGATTTTTTCTTAAATAATTTCATATACGTAAATTGTTAATGTATGTCACCAAGTATTTTTATTTTTCTTTTTGTGCTATTTTTAAGTGTTAGCGATTATTTGAGGTTTAAAACTAAAGATAATATGTGATTTTCAAATTTTGGTATATAAATGCAGTTAATATATTTATGTTCACTTCATAGTTTTCTGATTATTTTACTGGATATTTCAATGGACAGTATTGGCTTTGGTGGATATTTCTTGTACTTGGTAAGTTTTCTTCTTAACGCATTTCAGTTTAATAAGCTTAACTTTGAGATTTCTTAAAATTGTATGATGTAAAATTATGTCATAACTTACATGGAGATAAATTTTTTACTGTAAAATTCTCATATCCACAACCTTAATATCATCTCGCCTTTTCAGATATTCTGTATAGCACTCCAGATTTTTTAGATTTAAAATCTTAAAGGCTATCAATGTAAAGAATCAGTTGTTGAACTGAGTGATAATTAAATAGTACAAAATTTTAAAATCCTAACATGATTAACAAAAAATTGCCTTTAGTATTCATCTTAGAAATATACATGGATGATTTCTTTTAATGATCTTTGGAAGTTTGAGAGCAGAGTAATTTGGTTGTTCTACCCTTTATTTTTGGATCATGGAAACATTCTTTATGCTTTTGAAATGTCTCCTGCATTAATCATTAATCAGCCAGGCATAAGGAAAGGCTTCATGCCTAATGATCACAGTACTTTTGTTGAGTTGTCTTCTTATGAGATATGTCTTTTTATTAATATTGATGGAATTTTATCAATTTTCAATTTTTGTTCCCATGTGTTTTACTTTAGATCTTTGATAATTACGTTAATCTTAAAATCACATTGTACCTTTCATCCACACTTCAAATAAATTTACTGACATAAAGAATACATTTTGCTTTGACTTAGGTTAAAATGCCCACATTTCTCTAAGAATTGCACCAGAAAATCATAGCCATTCAGTAGGTGGCAGTCTTCTCTTTTGAGTTTTTATGTAGTCGTGCTATTAGATCCTTAGGATCTTTTGGGAAATAAATTCTCAGTGGTCAGTTAAGGTCACTAAATTCTTTTTCTAGTAATTTGTATTTAGTAATTACTAAAATAATTACAGTGGAATTATTTTAGTGTTGTGACCTGTGTTGGGAGTCAGATTCCTTAAAAGGTTAACCCAGTTCTATATTGTGAATTCTGTTCTGACCACACGTATTCTGTGTTCTTCATTGAGTTTCTTACGTAAAACTGGGGAAAAAAATTATGAAGTCTTATCAAGTATTTAAGCATTGCAAATAAGTATGTTTTTGTATATATTTAGAATTTGGAGGACTCTTAGGAAGGTAACTGTGGGGCAGAGTAGAATGCAGAGGACGATACCAATTCCACATTGAGAGCCATGGCCTAGCATTTTCTCAGGGGAATGTGAAAACTTAATCAGTGATAAAAATGTTGCTCTCACATATACTACAAAGAATATCAAGCCCTCCATAGAATGCTCAGAAACAAAAGCCACTGAGTGATTAGTTTTTAGATACGAATCGGCTTATTTTAGAAGATGCCTGAGTAGAAACAGAATGTAACTTAGAAACATCAGCTTCATTGACTAAAGAAGGTATCTCACAAATAATTTGGGTTTGCATTTTTCAGTAATTTTTTATATTTAGATAGTGATTCATTATCTTGGACAGCATCTGGTGTAAGGGCATGAGGGTGGAATTCAGAGAGAGTCCCAGTTGGAGGGAATTAGATAGGATGTGAGAAGCAGATTGAGATTAGATTCAGCTGAAATTTATACCACTTGTTTAAATCATCATTTGTCTATCTCGTCTATCTTCTTCAATTTAGTATAAGCATGCTTCTTTTTTTAGTGTTTTGAATACTGTCTCGGAGTTGGAATGCAAATTTAGTTGGGACTTTTTATTTTAAATTCACAGACAGTTTTCTTCCTGGTGAGCAAAACTACACAGATACAGTACATATTTTCTGTTTGTGTTTTTGTACCCCTCCCTTTTCCTGGTTAAAAATTTATTGGAGTTAATAAATGTTTCCCTAAGAATTATATGCTTAAATATTTCAAAGGTTTATGCTAATAATGGTAATGCTTTTATACTTATTTAATATTTTTCATCTGAAATATTAAGCATTTCTCAGGCATTGCTTTTTTAATTATTAAAAAATCTGTAATTATTATTTCAAAATACTACGTCACAGAGGGGAAATAACATGTGTTCCAAATAATCCAAAAAGTTGCTAGAATGACTGCCTTCCCAAGTCATCTTTGCTGTCTTTTTCATCTTAATTTTTATATAATCTTTTATTATTACTTGAAAATAAGAACTCATGATTAAAAATATGTATATAATGCGCATGTCATCAAATACAGATTATATAGATGACGGGTACTTGATACTGCTACATAAAGCTTTTTATTTTTTCCCCATAATTTAGCAACTACATGAGTATATTCTCTATTTACTTTATATAAATATATTTCTTAGTTTGCTTAGTGGTATAGTATATGTGAGAGCAACATTTTTATCACTGACTGATTTTTCACATTCCCCTGAGAAAATGCTAGACTATGGCTCTTAATGTGGAACTGGGATTGTCCTCTGCATTCTTCTCTGTCCCACAGTTACCTTCCTAAGAGTCCTCCAAATTCTAAATTATATACATACATGTGTGTGTGGGGGTGGGTATATATATATACACACACATATTTGATATGCTTAAATATTTGATAGGCCTTATAATTTTTTTTTCAGTTTTAGATAAGAAACTCAATAAAGAACACAGAATATAGGCGGTCAGAACAGAATTTGCAATACAGATTGGCTTTTAACCCCCCTTAAGGAGTCTGACTTCCCAGTAAAGTCACAACACTAAAATAATTTCACTATAATTTCTTTGCGTTATATCAGTTTAAATGTACCAGGTAACTTTGCTATTTAAAGAAACCACTTAATAAAGGTAGGTTTTTACATAATTCTGGATAGTCATAGCTAGATTTCCTTTAATTTTTGGTTCATCTAAGACTAACAAATTAAAAAAATGTGGATGGCAACAAAACTTGATTTCTTCATGATGGAGTTATCATTATAGTGTAAAGTATGTTATGGAATGAATGAAATCCTGCAGATTAAATTCCTTTTCTTAAACCAAGAGGATCTTATTTATAATTGTCTATTTTTAATTTATCATGGCCCGTTTCTATATAAGAACATAATATACCTATATTATTTCAACCTTCTCAGGCCTGCTCCTTTTCTTTAGAGGATTTGTTAATTACCTAAAAGTCAGAAACATGTCTGAAAGTATGGCAGCGGCTCATAGAACAAGATATTTCTTCTTATTATAGAGGTAAGGAATATTAATATATTAACTCTGTTTATTCCCCTTACATATTAAAATGTACCAGAAACATACTAAATATGTAAGCTGTACTCATAATTTTTACTCAAAGATAGCATATTTAATGTTTTTATACTTTTTTTTTTTTTTTTTTTGCAGTTTTTAGCCGGGGCTGGGTTTGAACCTGCCACCTCTGGCCCATGGGGCCAACACCCTACTCCTTTGAGCCACTGGTGCTGCCCAATGTTTTTATACTTTTAACAGCTTATGGAAATTTAATAAGTTGTAGACCTTTTTAGAAAACTCGGAGATTTTTCAAATTGAATTTCATAAATTTTAATTTTTTAAATTCATAATGAATACACTGTAACTTTAAATCAGACTTTTTAAATTTCTTTTTAAAGATTGACCACAGGAGATGTACGAAGTAACCACCAGCACAAAATTTGAATGCTTGAAAAACAAACAAAATATGACAAAGTACTTTACACAGAAGGGATGGGAATTTTGCCTAAAACAATGTGAAATTCACATAGACATCTGGTGAAAAAAAAACCCAAAACAAAAAAGCAAATCTATGATTGAAAAACAATTTGCTGTGCAGTCATCTTTATGATCTGGATCAAGGAATAAAAATTGTGTGAAGAAAATAGGAGCTCTGTTACTTTTTTCTTAATGTGTCAGTGTGTATCAACAGTGAAAGCTACAACTGGAATAAAGGGAATATAAAGAAATGAGCAGGGGTTGACTTACTAGCAGAGAGTTTCTGGAGGCACTGTATAGAGCAATGACATTTATCTGTCGTGCAGCCAGGAGCAGTCGTACATAAAGAGACTTCACCTTTAAACCCTATCTTCTATTTTATTTTTATTTTCCTATTGTTTTTTAAAACAAGTCCATTTACTTCATATCTATAAATAATTTAAACTTTAAAAGTATTTGAACTCCACAAGCAAAATGGGGATTCTACTAAAACGCTTCTGAATGTAGAACTGCAGGACAAAGCGTTTAGGGTTACTATACTTTTTTATAAATAAGTTGTATGGTTTGTGATTTGATTAAGTTTTATTTATAGATTTATATGCATTATACATAAGCTATATTATTTACTTGTTTCCATTGAAGAGTACAATGCATATAGTTGTATTTCTGGATTCCATTAAAATATCATTTTTAGGTGTTCCATTAAGGTACCTCCCTTAAAGATGTCACATCTTCTCAACAAGTCAAGTGTCTGCAAACAGTGGCATTAAAAGTTTATCACTATTAAAAATAAGATAAAAGACCAAATAATTAGAATGGTATGCTATGAATAGTGTGAATATCTTGTATGCATTTCTGAAGAGTCTAAAATATAATGTAAATATGCTCTGAAAAATTTCAAGAGTATCCAATCTGGGGCCCACAGGCCCCGTGCTTATTTTGTGGAGCCTTTTTTTGCTTATCTGTGTCAGATATCATGCAGAGTATGCATGGACTTTGTTTTTGCTAGTGTTTGTGTAGTTAACATATGACCCAAGACAACTCTTTTTTTTGTTTGTTTTGGAGACAGAGTCTTGCTCTGTCAACCAGGCTGGAGTGCCATGGCCTTATAAACCTAGCTCATAGCAACCTCTAACTCCTGAGTTCAGTCAATCCTTCTTCCTCAGCCTCTTGAGTAGCTGGGGCTACAGCTGCCTGCCACAGTGCCCAGCTAATTTTTCTATTTTTTGATAGAGATAGGGTCTCACTCTTGTTCAGGTTGGTCTTAAATGCCTGAGCTCAAGTGATCCTCTTCCTCAGACTCCCTGAGTACTAGGACTATAGGTGGGAACCACCTTTCTCATCCCCAAGACAATTCTTATTCTTAGATTGTTCAGCAGAGAAAAAAAAAAGTTGTATATCCCTGCATCTCAGACTTTTATATGCTGCTGTATGTTATCTTTATCAGAAGAACATTATATATTTATGCCATACTATTATAAGATAGTTTTTTATTGTACTATGATTTAGATAAATGCAACTTAATACATTTTAAGACTAATTATTTCTTTGTCCCTAGACTGCATCAACCCGACATTCCTTTCTTATGCCAATGTGAAATTTTCAAATCATCTGTAAACCTACAACTTTAATAGGATAGAAGACTACTAATAATAGAAGACAAATTAGTGAAGAAAAGATAAGCTTCAAAATTGAATAGCAGGGTGGTTTATACTTAAGCCATTTCTGTTCATTCTTTAAGTACCTGTGTTTCATTTGTTTTGCACATCTGCACATTTCTGCTTTTGAAAGATTTACATACACTTGAAAGAAACCATAAAGTTGTAGCGGTAAAGTCCAGTCACATTTGGTTAATCAGTGTTTGATATAATTGAAAGAGTTGAGTGGTAAAGAGTCTTCCAGCATGTAAATGCCATTGACTTCTGACTTGACATTTAGTGTAATAAAAATGAAATTATTGACCATGTCAAATGCTTTAGTTTCTGGGTCTTCAATTCATCTGGTCATTCTACACATGCAACATCCTTTGTTCTATCTAAAGTTTATTAAAACCTGCAGTGCTGATTATTGGAAAGGATTTGTCAGATTTTTGAACATGATACAACATTGTTATTTAGGAAAACTCTTCCTGTAAATAACCATGGATAAAGTACTTTTTGCATTGTTTTCTTATAAATTGTGTCTAGATATCTTATCATTAATTTTAAATTAAGTGAACTAAATATATATATATATATAGAAAATTTGAGTGTTAAACATAGAATTTGTTTTTAAGGCAAGTATTAAGAAAATGTGGGTGTACCAAAGTCCTTTATGAGAAAAAAAAAATCTTTTAAGGGACATACTAATTTTAGGGATTTTTCCAATAAGAAGCTTGGTTTTTAGAATTGACTGTCTTAGAGATTCTTGCAGGAAGAGGTTGTATTAGACATTGTATTTACTTCATTTAAGATAATTTTGAAAATTAATTTTCCAAATATTCTCATTTACATGTGTCTTTTAAAAATTCAATAAAAATATCTATCAGTATCATTGTAATAATTTTTTGTTTAGATGGTTAATTTGTTAAGCTTAGCAAATAAAATTTTGTGCTGTTAATAGCTTCCTGTTGTATGATTATAGATTAATTTGTCAAAAACGTATTCTATGTTCAGATACCCAAAATATCCATTTTCAAGTTATGGAAATGGGCCTGTGGGATTTAGGGGAGAGTGTGTGTGTGTGTGTGTGTGTAGTGTGTATCAGCAGTATTACAACTGGAATCTAATCAACATTCATAAGCTATTGTATTTTGCATCTTTCAAACCATTTTGTGTCTTATCTGTTTTTCTTTTCTGTTATATCTTTGCTTTTGAGTGCCAACATTAAAAGTTACGGTATATCAACTTTTAAACCTAAACATTATTTAATATAGCTATATAGAATATATAAAGTTGATTGCTTATTTATTATTAGACACTACTACTAAAAGGTACATCTGATTATTCAGGGACATTTTTCCATTGCTGAAAAAATAAAATTTATTATGCTTTATAAATTCTTTTGTATTTCTCTGTATTTTCTAATTCTTTGTTGTCTTTGATAAATAAAACATAGTTTTGTTTTGCTAATTAAGCCTCCTATTTTTTGTTTTCCCTCTTTTAGTTTATTTCTTTATGTAGAATTTTTGTTGTCACTTAAAATACCTGTGTTGCACCCCTTTAAGTAAAACAATAGTATGGGGTAAAGAAACAAAGTATTTAACTTTGTTGCCTGATTTGGAAATTAATTAAAATTAGAGTTCACAATAACATATGCAAACTCAAATTTATGCTGGATAATTTTCTATAGACCCATATTTTGTTCTTTTAATAATTTCTAAATGAAATTAAGCTTGAGTACATAATAATTTTAAATTACTTGGGAGCCCAGCTGTCAAACATCAATTTATTAAAATTTCATTTTTGTTTTTTGTGCTCTTTATTCGTGGTTTCCGAATACAAATCTATAACTTTTCATCCAACATCAAAACTTCACTTTTTGTTTTGATTTTCCCCCCAAATCTTCAAGGTTCAAGTATACCTGTTACTAAATCTGCTATAATTGGTATAATGTAATGGTAGCCTTAAATCTCATTATCTAAGTAGGGGAATCAGAATGTTACTTTCAAAAATTTAACATTCTCTTCTGGATTTTTGAAATTCTGCATACTTCCGTCCATTTTCTGTGAGCATGAACAGCTGCTGTTGTTGTGTTTTGAGGACACTTGACAAGCTTTGCACTCTTGCCTTTGATTGAAAAGTAAAATACTTGTTAGGGTATCTAAACATTTTTGAATAAGCATAAATTAGGGCTTGGCAGTTAATGTAAAAATTTCTTAAGTTATTTCTATTGTATTTGAGTAAGCTAGTTATAGCTAGGATAATCCATTTTTATGTATTTATTCAATAAACTGAATCTTAAGGAAAAATAACATTTTTCTATATAGGGTATTCAAGATTTTAGAAATTTAAAATTATAATACAAATCCCATTACATTCAGTTAAAATGAAAAGCTGCTTAATTCAAAATACTAATCTTGAGGCAAATGATCACTTGAGCTCAGGAGTTTGAGACCAGCCAGAACAAGAGTGAGACACCCTGGGCACCCTACTAAAAATTAAAAAAAAAAAAAAAGCTGGACATTGTGGCAGGTGCTTGTAGTCTCAGCTACTTGGGAGGCTAAGGTAAGAAAATTGCTTGAGCCCAGGAGTTTGAGGTTACTGTGAGCTGTGACACCATGGCGCAAAGTGAGACTCTGTCTCAAAAACCAACCAACCAACCCCCACTTTTCCTTGCCTTTGTAATCCTTCATGTGATCTTTCAGAATGCACTTTTGTTTACTTATTTATTTATTTTAATTTAAAATCATTTTTTTGAGACTGAGTCTCACTTTGTCATAGCTCATAGCAACCTCAAACTCTTGGACGCAAGTGATCCTCTGGCCTCAGTTTTTTCATTTTTAGTAGAGACAGGGTCTCACTCTTGCTCAGGCTGGTCTCAGACTCCTGGGCCCAAGCAATACACTTGCTTTGGTCTCCCAGAGTGCTGGGATTACAGGTATGAGCCACAGCGCCTGGCCTCAAGATGCAATTTATTTGTAATCTTGCCTAAAGTGGGAAAAAAAAGTAAAGCTGACATCAAAAGCTTAAAAAAAAAACAAACTAATCTCGAACCTATTGAGTGTGTAAGATATATCCCATTTTAGACATGCTTTTGAAGTTGTTCATAGATTTTAACCTGTTAAACAATAATCATTAATGTTTCCAAAAAAACTTCTCATAATAGCAAAAATGGAGTCCAGAATATCCAAGTATAGAAAAATTCAGATTCCTTAATTTGACAGAATTTTTTTCAACTGTACTGTTTTCGAAAAGCACAAAAGTACGGATGATACTGTACTTAACTAAAGTGATATACATCTTGAATTTGCTTAACTGAATAGTGTTTCCTTTCTTAAAAGTGTCCTAATTTGAGGGATAAGTTAGATGACCACCTTGTGTATAATTGCACCGTTTGCTGAGAAGTGGCTACTTTAGTCCCACTGTCCTATGAGAGATGGGGAAAGGGAAGGAACTAATTACTGTTGTCACAGTCCTTTCCAACCACTTTACCAGTGTTTCGCCTATAAAACAGGCATAGTATTAGTATCTTTTCTCAAAAATAAAAGTTACATCATAATGATTCTACCTTGTGGTAAATAGTAAATAATGACTTAAAATTTTTAAGTGCTATTAAATATTACTTTAATTTTTTATTCAAATAATCATGAAATGTTAACATATTATTATTTTTAAAAACTTTGTTCTGACTAAAGATCCAAATGTTAGACAATAACATACCATTCATCATCACAGAAATATCCTTGTCATATGTAAAACACGCTGGCGGGTATTTTAACGTTATGAAGTCCTATGGATGTGGAAATTTGACCCTGTGATGTGTCCTTTTGAAAACCAGTTTAAGATTCACAAGATATTATCACCACCTCGGCCTCACTAAAATGTTTATATGGCAGACTTCACAAGATTTGAGATGAAAACAACTCTGGCGTGGAATTAGGTTGGCGTTATATCATTTGGTTATTGTAGGTTAGAAGAAAGATTGCAGTTTGATTTTCAGGTTAATTTGAGAGTACGAAGAAATAGGTTACAATGTTTGCATTTGTTAGGTAGGGTCCCTCTTATAATTGCAAAAACCCCAGGTTTTTGAAAATAATTTATGTTCATTTCTGCTTTATAAAATAACCAAGGTCACTATAGGCCAGACCTGCTGATGGGCTTTTGTTTTTTTACTTGTAATGTAAGACCTAAGGTCCAAAAATTTCTTTCAAATTACTAAGAAAAGAAGCGAAAAAAAATTTTCATATTTTTCAAAAATTAAAAAGAAAATGTTTTGAGCTCAGCGTATTTGCATGTTTCACTTTCTTGACGTTTTCAGCTTAGTTTTCTTTTTTGTTGTTTTCTGTCTTTGTTTTGTGAGGTGAGTTATCCATTTCTAAAAAACTCACCTGCTTTTAATGAAAACTATTTCTTTTAAATAAATAACTAAATGGAGAAGAGATGGGCTCTTAGATTTTTAAGAGCTAAGATTATACCAAACCAAAATCACACGTTCAGTTCACAGAATCATAGGGGTGGTTTTTCTATCTTTTCATACTTGGAAAGAACCACTTTATTACTCTCTCACTTCTTTTGTGTGTGTTCATTTAAATTAAATCAACACTTGACTGTCAGTGACACAAAAGGACATGGGCTGTCTCTCCTTGAGTAGAGTTTCTTCTCTTAGCCTTACCAGAAGTATAGCAAGATCAGCAGTAAAACAAAAGTTTGCCCAAAGCTGAGAAGACATCTGGAAGATAGCCACTGCCTTTAGAATATGGAGCATAGCGCATAACCTTACTGAAAAGTAGGAACTCTTTGGAGGTATAAGAACAGTACATAAATTCCTTGTGTGGAAATATGTTATTTCTTTTCCATTAAATTTAGTTTTTCAGCCATTTGAATGCTCACATAGTGATTTGGTTTGGGTGTACAATCTGTGTGATTGGAGCTGTGAAAATTTAATTTCCATCTTACTCATTCAGCGAGATGACCTAAAGACTCTTAACTTGCTCAAGCAAGCGCTGTTGACCACTCTGACTAGGATAATAGAGTAAGTGTGAAGCCTCACTTCCCAAAGCTAGACTTTTAAAAATGATGACCAGACCACAGGGAATATGTAGCATTAGTTCATTAATATTGATGAGGTTTTAAAAGACACCTGTGTCTTATAGATTCCTAATGCCATAAAGTAAATCTCCAAGGATGAATTTTTGATTGAATCACTCTATAGGACCTCTCTTCAGAGCAGTGATTGTTACTCAACATGATGTATCATAATCAAGTAGAAGTTTTCAGGAAACGAATGTTTCAGTCTCAAGTTTCAGAAGTTCCAATGCAATAAATTTACCCCATGATGAAGTCCTAGAATTTTGGGTTAGTGGTACTGTTGATTCCTTTCTCATCTTTGTGCCCTCTCTGTATCTGGCTTCATATATATAACATAACATGTTTAATATCATATATATTAAGTTAAACATGATAGGGCAAGTGTTATCAGGATGGCTTCTTCCAGGGAAAGGAAGAGGCACGTAAAATGAGATCTTAAAGGGTTAAGGAGCATTTCTTGAGCTCTTTCTGCCTTCTGACCTCTGGATGAAGGCCCTTCTGGTTTTAATGCCTGTATACACACAACACGGCACTGCAGGGCTTTATCACCAGGGCAGTGTGCGAGCGTTGTGTCAGAATGGAGCTGATTGTGCTGAGAGAGCAGTTACTTCCTCCATAATACTGTAAAGCGAGCAGAGTTAGATTATTCTATCATATAGAATAGAATATATTCATTTTTTTTCTGGCCTCAAAAAATAGGATTTCTTTCCTCTAGAAACTTCCTTTCTCCTATCTGTCAGGGGGCCTACGGATTATTGAGAGAGGCAGCTTTGTGTAACAGGAAGAGTGGGTTTGGGAGCCAGATTAACTCTGGACTCAAATATCAGCTGTCACACAAGCTTGGGCAGTCTGCCTGTGTGAAGCGTCAGTTCTCTCACCTATTTATTGGGAAGCACAATATGTACCTAAGGATTAGAGAGAAAAAGGTAGCCTTGGTTATTACATCTTTGCTTGTTGTGTTTCCTGACTGGCCTGCCTGTTAAGTCTTAGCAGATGCCTCCAGGACTTAAAATAAGTCCTTGCCTGATGTGGGCATTGTACCTGCAGCCCTTTTGAAAATGGGTGATTAGAACAGGATCTTGTTAACCTTGTATTTGCTCCTTGAGTCTTCTCTGCTGCAAGTGGAATTAAAGTAAAAGTTGCCTAGATGACACCAGACCACAGGGAATATGTAGCATTAGTTCGTTAATATTGATGAGTTTTTAAAAGACACCTGTCTTTTAAATGAGGGGAAAGGAGTGGTTTTTACCAGGCAGTAAAGCGTACTCCCTGGTAG